TACCAGTTTGCCTGCAGTCTTAACTAGTGATAACGTAGATAGTGTAGAAAAAGTGGGATGGCTTTAGTACAGATTATATAAAAAATTTAAGACTACAGTTTCGTGGCTATATAGTGTGCATCACTGTGTAACAATGTATAATCAATACTAAGAACATAAAAATATAGGACCAAGAGGAGGCCATTCAACTTGTTGAGCTTATTCGATTGATACTATTCAACAACAAAGTGTGAAACACTACAATATACTACAATACAATACACTACAACTACATTATTGTGTTTAAAATGCATTGAAGAAATGTTATAGAACTATGTAGTATAAATGGCACAATGTGGTACATGGTTCAATACAATGTAACAATGGAAAGTAATATTACCTGCACACTACTGTGACAGAACACAGTCTAAACAACCAGTTAAGATTTTTGATAGCGCTTTATGACATTTTGACGGGGTAAGGCACAGTGAAAAATGTAAATGGTTTCTAATGATCAGTGTGTGTGAAAGCATAACAGAATAATCCAGAGTAACACCAAGTAGAAACATATAGTCCTCGGTGAGAAAAGGTAGTGAGGCCAACCCCAGAATCCACTCTACATTATGTCTCCCATGATGATATCCAACTTTGATTGCATTGCGCAATGCTATACATTAGGTAGTCCTGCAAATGAAAAATGAAAATCAAAAAAGAGATTAGATATGGTTCCCCATGTTATATTATTGGCTTTCAGAGCTATGCACCAATTGCTGAAATGCTGAGTACAGTTGAGCCAGAGAGACAACAAACTGGTGCAGTTATATCTCAAGTCCTCTTGCTTTGTGAGGTTGAATTCAGGTTGGATCAAGCTGAGTTAAATAGGAGCTCATAGGGAAATGCATTCCTTATGCTGCTAATTATTGTAGTTATTGACATTTTTTCCTAATGGGGACATTTCAGTCAGTTAGCATGCATCATCAAAGTCTGTGTGGTATATAATAGCAGCCCCACAGAAGGATGTACCCAGACTCTCTCACACAATCAGATGTCAAGTACCCTGATCGCCTATTTTAAAACGAATCACAACCAGTATGTTTGTCACAGCATGGTACTTGTTCAAGTTAGGACTTATCCTACCTATAGGCTATGATTCATAAGAATCTGGCTCCAAGGCTGAGCTCTTCCAGGTTAATGTGATGTAAACAGTGTTTACTGGAGGAGATACATTTTACTCTCAAGGGTGCTTTTTCAAGCATCGGCACCATTTATGCTGTTGATTTCCTTAATGAACACTATTTCATTCCTAGAATGTCTTGACAAACTATTTGATTGTAAATTATAGTCTGATCCAATCGGGTCCTCAGCCAACATCCTTACATGTTGATATTGACTATGACTTCCTGGAATCCTGTGTCATTCCTTCTCCTCGCCCCCAGAGAATTGAAGCCAATTATAACAGTACCTCTCCTGCCACCCTGGCTGAACTAAGAAGGTTCAGCACACTCTGAAGATTGAACATAAAACCTTCCAGATTGTATGGCTCAGCTACTATAGTAGTCATCGGGTAATAATTAGGCAGGAGAGAAATAAAGAGCAATTCCAAACATACTAAAACTATCAACATTGATTGCACATTGTGCAACTGAAGCACATTGATTTGATACTGTGAATCCAGTGTAGTTACAATAGTGAATATATAGCTCAACTGGCTACAGTTTAGTGTGCTTCCTTGCCACAAAATGTTATTTCTTGAGATTATGTTTTGCTTATATTTGGCACTTTTATTGCTATCAAATATTTATGAGAGAGCAAGCAGATTATAAATACTTCATAACTATATCACCAGATGCTGAACCAGCCCATAATAAATAAAATATGCATTATGTGATGCATAGAATGGTGGAGCATGTATTATACATGTGCTCATTTCTAACCAGGTAGAGTTAGCAACCTAAAAGAGATATGTTAGACATGCTGAATAACAATAGAAATTCTTGACAATTGGCAGCACAGAGGAAAGATGGGTTGCCGTTTTGGGTGTAACTCTTCTTCAGAACAATAATGAAGGGATCTGTATCATATACAAAATGCATTAAAAGAATCTGTCTAATACATTACTATAATAGTATAATACAGTCTGTCCATACCAGTGTCTTGGGACGTCCTCCGACGTGAAAGGCGCTATACAAATGTAATCTTGTTGTTGCTGTAAAACTGTACAGATCAGGTCCAAGTTTCATAATGGGTCTGCCTATGTTTTGCAATAGATCCAGTCACTGATCATTGATTGACACAGGACATGTTAGAGATTAACACAATAATCTTAAATATTCCTATTGTAGGTAGTTAAAAACATGTTTCAGAGCAATCCTATCTCCTTAGCTCTGTGCTTGTCCAAAATTGGATACAGGGCAGTTTGACAGTCATGCCTATTGTGTGCAACGTGTTGCCACATAAAATAGACTGGAAGGGTAACAGCATTGGGAATCCAGTACTGGATTTTGCCCACAAAATATACAGTCAATTACCTTTACAGTATATTCTGTGAAGTGCTTTGAGACGTCTTGAAGACGTGATAAGGCGCTATATCAAATGCAAGGATTATTGTCTTATTATTATTACTGCTTACAGTATTGACTTAGCTCTATTTCACACAAATATATAGAATTTCTTTTAAAAAAATAATGTTTAGAAACATTTTCAGTAGTTTGCTTGTACAGATTACTAACTGTAATCTCACTCTTCCAAATTCTCCCACCCACATAGTGCAAACAGGCTCATTCCATTAAAGCCATAGCCAATTTTTTTCCAATTAAGATTCTCATTTACGTGAAGGAGGGCTTTGGTGAATGTTGTGGCAGTTCTTTCTCTATTAGTGCCTCTTTTTCAATTGTTTGAAATCATTTGTGGGTTATTTGGTTAAACAAACATATAAAATGTGTGTCTTATCAGCTTGTTATATAATTATCAGTGTGGTTTGCACACTCCACCTTGCTAAGCCAGTCTGGAACCTTGGAGTCTTGTTTGACCCTCAACTATCCTTTCTACCCCACATCTGCGCCATGACCCGCTCTGCCTTCCCCCACCTCCACAACATTGCCTGGCTCTGACATTGTCTCATACCACAGGCCGCCAAAACCCTCATATACGCCATCATTACATCGAGGCTCGACTATGCAAACTCAATGCTTGTCGGCCTCCCCAACTCCTTCCTCCACAGGCTGCAGATCATCCAGAACTCTGCAGACCGTATCCTCTCCCGCACTAGGCTCCGCAACCCTATCACCCCCATCCTTGCCCAACTTCACTGGTTTCCCACCACACAGAGGATACAGTTCAAGATCTTGGTTTTCATCTTCAAAGCCCTCCACAGTCTTGCTCCCCTCTACCTCTCCGACCTCCTAAACCCCTACCATCCTGTTAGCTCCCTCCGCTCAGTGGGCCCCGGCCTGCTTCACATCCCCCGCCTTGCTCGCCCCACTATCAGCAGGCAAGCCTTCCGCTACTTTGCACCAACCCTCTGGAACTCCATCCCGCAGTCCCTCCGTCTCACCCCCTCCCTCGCCACCTTCAAGACCCACCTCAAGACCCTCGTCTTTGACCGTGCTTTCGATCTCCCTGCCCTCCCCCCTCCCCCACCCAGACCTTCAGCTCGGGTCCATAACTCTGTCCATCTAGCGCCTTGGAACATCCTCCCGACGTGAAAGGCGCTATACAAATGTAATTTTGTTATTGTTGTAAAATTTCACTGATGGAAACTACTATTTGGATGCTTTGTATGTTTTGCACAAGGAGGTTTACCTGTTAGAAATATTAAAATATTAACACTTTTCCAATTTCTCTAGCTTTTCAATGTAATACTTGCAACACAAGTCTTTTAAGTATGTATGTGGTGTTTGTAGGTCTGTAATTTGCACTGATAGATGAATAGAAATATAACGACCAAATTCAGATATAAGGTACAATAAAGAAAACATTTTACTGATTTGTTCATTTAATTGCTGGGCTAGGATTTGTTCTGTACAGGTATGACAGAGAGTATTTAACTCAATGGGGAATTTGAAAGTGTGATCTTATGTGTAATTCAAATTGCAGTGTCTGATGGATGTCAAACCTCAGCTTCCTGATCAAAGGACTCTGGCCTCCTTTTTCCTTCCAATGGGTATATTCCACAAGTAGCTTCTGGTACTTTGTCATGTGGCTGAATGAATATCACAGCTAGTCTGATCTTTTATACGCCCACATCCGTACTTATCATCTTGCAGTTTGTCAATGGATAGCAATCAGGAGTGGTTTACGTTTTCTTTTATCCACAGACATTGATACCAGTTGTAAGCCTTCACTGTTTCCCCAGTTAATACAGCAAAGATTGGAATCCAAATCTATGATTTGCTGACCTGTACAGCCCTGTATCAGGCTTTTACCAACGACTGTTGTATCGCTCTCCCGTGTCACCGCACCTTACACCTGTAACCTCAGGCAACCTTACCAACCTGGCCACTGTCTCCACTCAGTGAGCACTGGGCTGCTCCATGTCCCCTGCCTGAACTTCCCCACCATCATTGTTCGAGCTTTCAGACATCCTCTAAGCAACCTCTGAGTCTCCATCCCTGACTTGTCTCCTCTCTCCCCACTTTCAAAGCCCACCTCAAGACTTAGCTCTTGAACTGTGCTTTCACTCATCATTACGTCCCTCCTTCCCCTGCCCTCTTCAGGTTCCTGCCCCTCCCCCAGTTCGGTTACCTAGCCATCTGTGTAAAGCTCTCTTGAGACATTCCCCTGATGTGAAAGGCACTAAGTAAGTTTAAATTGCATTGTGCGAGGACTTTATCGTTGCAGAGTATACTACCTGGTCTTTCTCAGTGTTTGGTCAAGAGAATGCAGGGAGGGAAGAAAACAGCATGAAAACAGAGTTATTTAACCTTTTGTGAAATTGTACATGATGGCAGTTATATTTTTCTTTATTTTGTTGCAGAATAAAACACTCTCTCTAGACTGTAACAATTATTTTCTCTTTTCAGCTAAGAGCCCCCGGGAAGTTTCTGTTGGATTTGATCTGCCAAAACCTTAACCTGGTCGAGAGTGACTATTTCGCCCTCGAATTTCTGGATCATCGGAAAGTTATGGTTTGTGCAATAAATTATTACCATATTGTACTCTCTAGTTCAATTACGTGGAGGATAAAAGATTACAAACCTTTTATAATGTCCCAAATTAGACCCCACCATCTAACCTGCAGAGATGAAAGCTATTGAAATGTTAAACAAATGTGAAGAGATTCAAACTGCACACTGTTCTCCTTACACTGTCTTCCTTGTGTTTTATATTGTATCCTTTGGATTTTAAGTGTTATCAATTATTGTAACAGTATTAGATAACTAATGGAATGATGAAGGGAGAGGACCTGTTTATGTACCGAAAGGGAATAGTTTAGGTGGATTTGGTGTATCTCTCAATTTGGTCCCATTTAGATATTTCAGTTTGGAAATTCTTCCCTGGTGGTAGAGGTTGGGAATGTATCCAAACCTTTACGCTCTATGTTTTTTTAAGTTTAAAAAAAACAAAGGTATCAAGGAAATCTGCAGCATTTCAATCTATTAGATGGAGGTCGTGGCTTAACTGATAGCATCTGGGAGCAGACAATCTTATTTCTACATTCCTAGTCTGGGCCATCTGATTTTCTACAGTCTGGTGGGAATACCTGAAGCAATCTCCCAAGGTGCAGTTTAATTCAGTGGTCTCTCAACATCAGACTTAATGGGCTTTTCTGGAATTCCTCCATATTGCTGTACAGAGCATGCAGATGTGTAAAGTCTGGCGTGGTTTGTTTGATTAAGTGGCATCTTTCCACAGCAGCTCCAGAGAGCTCCTTTGTTCATCTTTTTGATTTCCTATTTTCCACTTTATCGTGCTTTATTCAGTGAGATCTAAAGAGCGGGAGAGAACTTTGAAAACATTTTCCAAAAGGGAAAGGAGAGAAAATAAATTGGTTTCTTTTATTGATGCTAATGCTCTTGGAAATCAAATGAATATTACAATATTTCCTGCTTTTAGTTGGTTTTATTAACAACACTTTATCATTTTATTTTAGTGCACTGCACTGGGTGGACTGATAATGTGATAAAAGCTGGGCAGTAATGCACTAGTTGATAACCGTAAAACTAGTGTTCATGTTAAGAACTAAGAAAAGTATATATGTATTCTGACGTAACTCACAATGTGAATATTTGTGAGAAACAATTTAATATCCGCAGTCTTCTCCACCTGCAGCAATGCAATGGAGAACCCAGTCACTGAATGCAATGTAACATTATTATGATAAAAATGTAAAATAATTCCACACCATTCTGTCCAGCACACATAAATCACAGTTTATAATAATATAATAATAATAATAATAATTGCATTTGATACAACGCTTTTCACGTCTTCTCTATGTCTCAAAGCGCTTCACAGAATAGACTGTAAAGTGAATTGACCGTATATTTGTGGGCGAAACGCCACAGCCAATTGCGCACAGCAATGTCCCACAAACAGTCGTGGATTGAAAATTGCCAATTTATTATTGTTTTGTTTTTGGAGGGATTATTATTAGGCGTATTATTGCCCAAGGTTTCTCTCTGCTTGGAATTGAACCCAGGTGTCTCGCTTGCAAGGCGAGTGCTCTAACCACTGAGCTACAGGACTCCACACTTTAAACCATACTTCAAAGAAAAATCAAATTAACATATACAATAGCACCTTCATGTGCATTCCATCAAATACTGAATCCTTTTATGAAGTGCATCAACCCCTTTTCAAATGGAAACAAACTATTTAATATTAAATTTCTTTGTTGTACTTTTAGGTCTGGCTGGATCTTTTGAAACCAATTGCGAATCAAGTCAGAAGTGAGTACTGTTTGTCTTATTGGTTTATCTTTGCAAATTAATGTCAGTCTTGCTGTGCAAATCCGCAGAGTGTTCATATGCCTACTTATTTTGCAATCTGTTCAAGACTATAGTTGGGTGGTGCTTGAAGGAGCCATTGACTCTTTTAGTTTAGTGGACAAATGACTTAAGGTAAAACCTGGTCTCTCTTGGCATTTGAACTTATACCCACAGGGATGTGAGAACAGTGTTCACCACTTTCCGAGTATGCGCTGTTATTGCTTGATATTCGATTCATGCTTACTTTATAAAACACAAACATGACTTAATCTTTCTCTAGGACCAAAACATGTTGTGATGAGGTTTGTGGTGAAATTCTTCCCACCTGACCATGCACAACTACAAGAAGAACTAACAAGGTTAGTGCCATTTTTCTCTTTGTATTTATTTGTTTCTCATTTTTCTTACTTATCAGTGTGTGTAAGAATGCTAGCTGGTGTTATTTGTCTGTGGCCAGCTGCTAGGATGATGATTCAGTTTGAGCAGGGAGCGGTGTTGTTTCATTCCCAGTACCAGCATATGTCATGCAGCACTGATAAGCATCTTCCTGTATATAGTCCCACCTGCTTACATCATCTGGCTTTTAACAGGCTTTGAATTAGTTTTGAAATCAAAACTTTCCCATAGGGGAGCAAAAGCGCATCCATTTCAAGACCTTTCTTGTTTCAACAAAACCAGCTTTAAAAGACCAACCTTGAACACCACAAGGAGCATTAACCCTTTGAGATATCTCAAAAATCATTTGCCCTTAAATATTATATAAAAAAATGTTGCAGCACAGAATCATTATTGAGAGGCTAATATGGGAATTTTTCCAAGAAGATTTGTAAAGTAGAACATGTTGGCCTGGGGGTTAAAATGGTGGCCTTTTCCCCTCTTGAGACATGCGAGGGGGTGTAAATTGTGGCTGGTGATATGTAGCTCTATTGTTGAAAATTCCCTTCAACAGAAATAACCTGTATCCTATTAACCAGCACTCAAATACAGGCTAGCTTTGAGCCCAATCATTATGACCTTGGGGCTAGGGGCAGGTGGTGGAAAAATCACACTCATGCACCAGTTAATATAGCTTTAGTTCTCATCAGAGCAGAATCTTCAACAATTAACACATCACAGGCCCCGATTTTCATCCTGTGACTTCATGTGCTGTGTCCAGGCAACCGTCTGATGACAGCTCAATATCTCAAGTAAAAGTAAGATTGATGCTGCTCGATAGGGTTATTCTGAACTCAGAGAACAACATGTTGATTTCCCCTGAACTGTCCTCTTTCACATTGAGGAATATTGGATTTCCCTTCAGCTGGCTAGTCAAAGTGGTTCAGTTTTTAAAGAAAGCTTTAATTTATTTGAATCTTCTAACCAAATGTCGAAAGGCTCAAAATTAACACTGGTCTTTGCCCTGAGACTCAGTAATCCTTCAAGAATCCACAGTGGTTTTTAGCCAGTTGAATATCTTTTAAATAATTCAGAGTAGCCACACTAATATTTTATCTACTCTAACAAGCACTTGTGATTCCAAAGAGACTTATATCTGTAAAATTGCTCCCATTAAAGGAAACATTTTGTGCCTGCTGACTATGTGGATACATCAGAGTACTGGCCAACCAAACCAATTTCACTTAATGGTTGATATTTTAGGAGCTCTGTAAGAAGTGGAGTGCTAACTGAATCCTGAAGAATAGCAAATGTTATGCTTTAATTCAAAGATGAAAAAGGTGCATGTGAGATATCGTGTCATGCGCACTTCATGATAATAATAATCCATTATTTGATATAGCGTTGTTATATTTGATATAGTGCTGCTGTCGAGACATCTCAAAAGAAACTCATAGGATTTACTGTAGAGTATAGTGACTATATTTTGTGGGTGAATACGACAGTCAATTTGTGCACAGGAATGCTAATAATGATAATAATCTAATAATAATCTCATCCAAAGATCATGGAAGTAAAGATTGCTACTATTATTAGACAGTGTGGCCTATCACACTGTCTGATAATAGTAGCAAACTTTACTTCCATGCTCTTTGGATGAGATGTTAAACCGAGATGTGTGGTGGTGGGGGTGATGGGGGGGAGGTGGGGAGTGATCGCAGTGAAACCCGACCCGATCCTGAATTCACCCAATGTCCACACACACGCTTTCCAGCAGAGGTCTTTGGACAGCGATCAGGAGCAGGCACCATGAAAGTAATTTATTGTTTATGTAAGTAAACAGCTATCCTTTTCATGGTTGCTAGTTACATAAATAAGGGCACTTGTATTTCCTTCTGCACACACCATTTGCACATGTGCATACGACACTTGTTTAACACACAATGCATAATACATGACCAAATCAGTAAGGCACTATATGGAGGGGTCTGGCAATCAGGGAACCCAAGGACATCACGAGTTAGAGCTTTCAGGATAGATCAGGAAAAAAGGGAATAAATCTCACATGCATGAGCAGGGGGAGGCGGAAATCAAGATTTATAAAGCTCCTGGAAAATGCTCAGTCTAAGCTTTCCAGCAATTGTTTTAAATAGCAAACCTAAGTTAGGCCATTCAATGTCATGTCGCTTTTTTCATTAAAGTTGACTATAAATGCACTGATGTTGAAGGTGATTCATTTTGAACGCTGAGTTGAACTATCACTTGTATCTTTTCTTCTCTCCTGACCTAATTTCAGAAAAAAAATGCAGGTCTAGTGTCAGAAAGCGAGACCTGAAAGATACAGTTTGACTTGCAAAAGGCTGGTCGTGTTGAGGAAAATAAAGGGAGAATGAAATAAATCTGAATGCTGTGCTGCACTGTCAGGAAGCTGGTTGACTTCGGTATTTGTATTTTGCAGGTACCTCTTTGCACTACAGATCAAGCAGGACTTAGCTTCAGGGAGGATGATCTGCAATGAGATGAGCATGGCATTGTTGGTGTCTCACATTATCCAGTGTGAGTAACCTTGGAATAGTCTTCCATCAGTCTTCCATCAGGGAAAGAAACAAGTCCTACATCTTTCAATACAGTTGGCTCCCAGTATCTCAGCTCATTTACTTGACGATCCTTACAAAACCCTTTATGGTCTCACTGTAATATTTTCGGGTACTCTGGAAAATCTGCTTCAATTTAAGACTGCACAATAATTTTTTCACAATCTAAACCCTGGGAATCTTAAGAAGTTTTGGAGCTCGGGAGAGCAGTTGGAGAATATTTTGTGTCTGTGTAAATTGCTGTATGAACTGACAGAGTAACTTTCTTTAAATTTCTCATCCTTGTCACAGCGGAGATTGGGGATTTTGATGAAAGCCTTGATCAGGAACATTTGGAGAAAAACAAATATATGCCTCAGCAAGATACATTAGAAGACAAGATCATGGAGTTTCATCGAAGACATGTGTAAGACCCGAAGTAGTATTTCTGTATGGTTATTATTAACAGATAGAGATGTGGAAGCCAATAGCTTCATTATAATTGTTACAAGAGCTTCCCCAATGTCTCAGTTGGTAAATAAGGTTGGTAAAGAGTGGATGGTAAATTATAGCTGGGAGTTTCTCACATATAATGCAAAATCTGTTTCCCCATGTCCATCAGGCAAAGCACAGAAAATGTGAGCATGCTGAATGCACATTTTAAACAATGGATTCAAATCGCAGAGTTATTGAATGTTATAGCACGCGGAGAGGCCATTCGGCCTATCATGATTGTGTCAACCATCCACTTCCCCTGCCCTTTCTTCACACGCTTTTAGAATCATAGATCTTACAGCACAGAAGGAGGCCATTCGAGATGGTGCCTGTGTCAGTTCTTTGAAAAAGCTATCCAATTAGTCCCACTCCCCTGCTCTTTCCCCATAGGCTTGCAAATGAAAGGATTATTATTATTATATTTTTCCTTTTATTCATTCATTTTTTCTTTTTCAAATACGTGTTTAATTAAATTTTAAAAAGATTAGCTCAGGCAATCAATTCTGGACAAGAATGATCATGTCTGGTGGAAAGGGAAGTTTTATCGGCAGTGAAGTATTAATCATGTCACTCGCCGGCTCCCTGCCAGTCACGGATAATGATTTGACAGCAGTTCTGGTTTCTCAGTATCCAAGTGGGAAAGAGCACTGTTTGTGAGAGGTTCAGCACAAAGCAGCTCTGGAAACACAGTCTGGGCTATAAATGATATTCATATCACAGTGAATTTGTGAGCAGGAGTCACACTGCGCCCGGACTGCAAAAATGGCAGCTTTTTAGATGATCAAGCTTTGTTTTGTTACAGATAAACAATGGACTTCAGAAATGGTCCTCACACAAATTCCTGCAGAAAGATTTTCAAAACCCTCTTTTCAAACATTTTACTAACAATGCAAAGAAAACCTTGAAATGATATTCATATGTTTGCTTTCAAAGAAGGAAGGAGAATTTCGAGTCACACGCAGAGCAGAGTTGGACTGGAAATAGATTTTATGATAGTGAGAAACAATAGTGTAGTAACAGTGTAACTCCTGTTTTCATAGATCTGCCAGTTTCCATCATTTTTAGCTCACGATTTGTGAGCTTCAACACATTAATGTTACAGTAATGAAACTGCTCAAACATCAGATAACATAATTACTTTATTAACAATGGGCCACACAAATAAATGCAAAAAGCATAATTTTAAATAACATTGCCTGCACTTGCTCTGCCATTGCTTTTCCTTCTATTTTCTCTTCTTTCGTTTCACTATGAAAGATTTTATATTGAAACATTATTTTTACAATTGTTTTTACCTATTCTAACCTTTTTTCCAGCAGTAACTAAATTTCAGATTTCTGCCTATAACAAAATTTCATCTAAAGGGTGAAATTGGCTTTAATGACCCTGGGGTAGGGAGAAGAAAAACAACTAGGATTTGTGCTGCCTATCGCTATGCAGTGACCCTTGCTAGAAAGTGAATCAATGCAGACAAGAGTGAGGACTGGATTCGGCTTGGTTTTACATACAGTACCATTCTCTGTCAAACATGACACAATTGGAGACCTGGAATATATATGGTACTTCGTTACTGGTGACCTTAGATAGAACATGGTGCTGGTATACTAGAGACCTGGGATAGCAATGTGGTTCTGAAAAACATCAGAATAAAGGAGACTGGCAGATGAAATAATTACTTCCCCAAAATTGTTTCTTTGTTTTCTTCTCAAAGAGGACAGACACCAGCGGAATCAGACTTTCAACTCCTTGAGATTGCCAGAAGATTAGAAACATATGGAATTCGACAGCATCCTGCAAAAGATAGAGAGGGAACCAAGATTCACCTATCTGTGTCACACACAGGGATCATAGTGTTCCAGGTAATAGTTACTGGTTTGGTATTTATGCAGGAGTCACATTTATCACACAAACACTAGGCAATTTATTGTATGAGATGAATGAAACAACGCATTATACTTTTGTCTTTCATGAAGGGTCAAAACAAGATAAACTCATTCAATTGGGCCAAAGTTCGCAAGCTGAGTTTTAAGAGGAAACGATTTCTCATTAAATTCCGACCAGAGGTCAATGTAAGTGACATTACATTAAGTGACCATTGTGATTTTGAGCTGGTTTTGAAGCAGTGTAGTAATGATTATATTTTCGCTTTTTTATTTCGTTGCAGTCTTGTCAGGATACCTTGGAGTTCTCCATGAACAACCGTGATTCCTGCAAGGCATTTTGGAAGATATGTGTTGAATATCATGCCTTTTTCAGACTAATTGAGGAGCCCAAACCAAAGCCTAAACCCATTCTTTTCAGTCGAGGCTCTTCCTTCAGGTTCAGGTAATAGATTTGCACCTTCCTGTGGGTTTCTAAATCTGTTTATAAATCAAAAGCAGTCCAATGTTTTTGTGCAGCCAAGTTTCTCCTCTTATTTTCTGAAGGTACTGAGTCATGTGGGAGTCTAATTTCCTACGCATCAGTCATCCTCCAATACCACACCCAAGTGACCATTCTTTACACACAGGCCAAATCAGTACGTGTCACCAGCCAGTTGTGGAAAGCATCACTGCCCAGGTCCAAAACTAACTCACATTCCTGGAAGGGAGGGTCTGATTGTGATCAGGAGCTGGGACCTTAGCTGACCGGTCCTCTCCCTAGTTCAGGACCTTGATTCCGATTATAGAGCTCTAGCCAATGTCTAGTTTGAGTTGAGCCAGGGACTTTCCAGGTTGCATGAGGCAATAACTCACTGGCCAGTCATTTTACCAACTGAGCCTGCCAGCTATAGTTTAATGCCTTTGCAGAAAGATTGAAATGGAACATCATATTTCTGATCCACATGGAGAGTCGCAGGGGGGGGATGCATTTCAATTTTATATGTTTACACACTGGACGGCTGCCTGCATTATGCTCTCCCAGTTATGACAGCAGCTTTTAAGCTGTATGAATGCTTTTGTGGCAGGCACAGGTTGTGTTCTACAGATTTGATTTCTGCGTCAAAACATGCGAACTCAGTTCTTCACACTGGGCGAGCTGCACCACTGACTGCTGACCACTTACAGGTTGGGGCTTTTCATGCGGGAGTAGTAATCCTGCAAGAAGGACCACTCCCCGTGGAACTCGTCATGGAACTAACACAAGCCTTTGTTTGGTTGCAGTGGCAGGACACAGAAGCAACTCCTGGATTATGTTAAGGAAGGAGGACACAAAAGAACACAGTTTGAAAGGTGAGTGTGCATTTAAATCTCTTATATGTTCCTCCCCCGCCCCTCCGCCTTTCATTTCTTATTAGGTTTGCTTGCACATTCAGGCCAAAGGAAAGGCAGAGACCAGTACACATGTCTCTATTAATGTCTGTAGAAGCATGTGTCTCTAACTGTCTTCATCCTCCATCCGTTTAAAACAGTGAAGAAAACTCTAGTTGGTGTGTGCTTTTCTTGTGGGGGTAAGGGGAAGAGGGACAGTTACCATTCAGACAAATCAGTGTTGTTAATGTTGCTGCAAATTCATATTTTTACATTTTATTTTCAGGAAACATAGTAAAATCCGATCTGTCAGGAGTCTGTCTGAACAGCCTTCAGAACATCAATCAGAGGTGCCAAAACAAGTTAGTAACTCAGGAAACATAATACTCTCCAGATCATAGGTTTCTTGCAGACTGTTTTGCAGTTCCCCAGAAATCTACTGAATGCTGATAGCATAGAGTAGTGTTGTCTCTCAGATTTATTAAATAAAATGCTTTTGTGTAAAATTGTCATACAACGTTAACTTGGATAGTGAAGTACATACAGCACACTCAACAGAACAATTAAAAATACATTGTGAGTTATTTAACACCAGAGTCAGGTATTAAAGGTAATGATGGGAACACTTTAAAATGATGAATTAAAAGAATCACACAAGTAGAATATTGGGTCAAGTGAGCCTAGTAGCTGAGTTCCCTGAAAGAGATATGTCCCAAGACTTTCTTTCTGATATGAGGCACCATTTAATGCTGCTGTTTTCCCAACAAACACATTTATAAGGCCTATATGAAGACAACTCCAAAGAACAGGATAGAATAAAGTGTTAATTTGATAGTGATTTAGAAAAAGGTTCACTTTACTATCAATTCTCAGTCTGTTTTTTTAAGTTGTGAAAGCTGTGTAAGATTTTATTTGAAATTCCTCTCCCACACCTCATTTTCTCCTCTCTTAAAGGCATTGACTGTGAGGTAATAATTTAATTCGTACCAGCAGCCCTTCAGTGAAGCTATATATTATGTCAATAGTAAGAGGCCATTTGACTGTGAGGAGCATTATAACTAAGTCTGATCCAGCCCTTATCCAAACCTAATTTACTTGCACATTCCAGCAGGGTTCACTGGTTGAGTAGCCTAAGGCCCCAAATTGGACCTAGCCTTAATCTTAACCATTAAGAACATTTTGTTTAATATTTAAGATCACAGAGAATTGCAGAGAATTCTTAAAATTAGTCTTACTTTAGAAGCCGTTTTCTATAGTCTTCAAAATAAGTTAACTTCCATATTGACTAAATATTAAAATAATCCACAATTCTATGTAATCTTAAATGTTAATAAAATAGTTGAAATGTATTAAGACAAGGTGGAACTAAGGTCTCAGAAGCAGGAGTCCAGAGTGATTTTATTCCCTCTTTAACCCAAGGATTCTGAGACCTCGGCTGACAGCTCTTGAGTCAGCAGACGGTGACCGAACCTTCCTGGTCTGTATGGTTCAGTGGCTCATCAGCTGTGTCCTCAAAGGAGCTTACAGAATGCAGCTTTAAGAGTTTTTGAATGTTTTCCTCTAAAATATCTCTTTTCTTTTCAGAGTGCTAGTTTTACTTTTGGAGTCATGTCTGCATCCCCAGGAAAGACAGCTAGTAATCAGAGGAAGGAGCAAGGAGCTACTCAATCAAGTAATCAAGATAGGGTTGAACGCAGGAGCCGGTCACCAAAGAGGAGCCCCAAGGAGGACAGGAGGGAAGCAGTGCTGATGGAGGAACCTGGGAGGGACAAGGTTCAGCAGCCCAACCCCCAAAGAGAGCAACAGAATGCAGGTCCAGCATCCAAAGCTGCTCGTGGAAGTAGCTCTTCCATTCCTTATATTGACTGCAGTGACGTAGATAGCCGCGAGTATGACTTAATCAAAGGGCAAATAATCAGGTCACAGTCACAAACAAATGACAATTATGAGGATGAGTGTGTTAGCGGTGAATACTTTGTTGAAAGGAATGAAAATCTCAATCAGCTCAGGAATAGGGACTTACCCAGTTTCACACTGGCAGATGCTCCACTCCATATTACAGAAGAGTTTTCGAATCTGTCCTTTTATTCTGGAAGGAGTCCTCGGATGACCAGACACAGCTCATTGGTTGATGAGATATTCCGAGACTCAGAAACCCGCAATCCCTTAGCCACCCCAGTACATTGTAGTAGCAAAGTATCTAGCCCTGTTACTAGCTTCAACCGGCATGGGTATCAAGGCTTCATTCTGCAGAATGGCCATTGCAACCGTAGGCTAGAGAATAAAGACAGCCATGTGTACAGTCATAAGGATTGCAATAGCTTCTCCCCCATTTTAAGCAGACCACATTCCCAGCGAGTGCAGAGTATGCGCAACAGGTCAGAGACTGATCCGTTTATCCTCAGTCAAATAGCCTCCTCCCCATCGAATGACTATCGGAGTGGCACCCCATTCAAAGTTAACTCGCCCAGAATACTGCAGTCAGAGAGACGACTTGTAGGTAACGGCTTGTCGGCTGCCGGACAGACCAAGCCCAGTCCCCCGGTCCATAGGATGCTGGCAGCTGGCTGTGTGGAGCATCCCGGTGGTGCCCAGTTGTTGGATGCCTCTACCAGCAGCGGAACAGAATCCAGTGATTCCGACTCTGAAGTTATTAATCCCTTCAGTCCCCCGTTGACATTTGGGAACCCAATAGCAGTGAACTCCTCACCCATGCCTAGGAACAAGTTCTCCTTCGGGAGTCTGCAGTTAGATGAGATGGAGGAGGAGGAGGGCTCCATTAGTTTCAGTGACCCTGATGATGGTAGTCCAGTGAGCGAGCATGGTGTCATCACCTGTTAGCAGTTTTCCTCCAGAACCTGAGCATTCGGCTAACCCTTTTCAGTATGTCTACTTTCTCACTAGCCAGTTGTTTGTCATCCTGTGTGTGAGCTGTTGTTGGTGTTTATATAGGTGTGGCATCAGAGACCACCAAATAACTTTGTGCTACTCCACTAACTCTTGAGTAACACTCTCTTTCCAAAGTCACAAGAGTAGGTTGATCACATTAACGATCGCTAAGAATGGCAACCTTTTTTTTGCTTGTTTATAATGGGAAATCTCATTAGAAAGAAGTAATGCAAGTGGCTTGCAATAGGCTCAGTGTCTCTGACACAACAGCCTCTTGCTGGCATTGCAAAGAAGCTCAACTGACTGCCTTTACTGTGTTTCCAAACAGTGAAAAATTACATTGATAAACATATACTAGATTACATGTCTAAATGCTCGTCTGTGGTATAACGAGAATGTAGAGTCTGGGTGTGGTTTGCATAACCTCTGGGGCTTTGTCACTCGTGGTTTCTGAGGTTCTGTTGGAGTGAGCAGTACCTCAGACTGTTTCGCCAATTGTGTCCTGTACCTGTTTGTGGCATTGCGTGTCTGCTAAATCACAGTATCCATGGAATGAATAACTGTAAAGGGTTTAAAAGAGAAACTAGACAAGTTCCTGGAAAGTGCAAGGATAGGTAATAAGATGGATGTCTTGTAAGACATTTTTTGGGAAGTTGGAAAGGTAAATTAAATGGACCATTTAACCCTAGTCTGTGTAGGATTATATTGAACTGTTCCTGCCTGAAACTGTTACTGTGTAACTGAGTGAACGTGGCAGAACTTCAGTTGCATCCAATATGGTGTTCTAATGCGGTGTCTCTCGACAAACTCGTAAATGGCTCCTGAGGTGTGAATTTATCTGATGCATATTCAGGTATCAAGTCATTGCCTTCACGTTTCTGAGATATCTTGTAAAAGTATAACAGATAAGTAGCAATGGGATGAGAATGGCATTGGTTAGTGTTTGTCATTTTCACTTGTGCAGTAGTTTGGCTCATCTTTTCTAATGAGTTTATTTGTTGTCGTTTTGTAAAACAAAACATTTAGACAAAAACTAAAGTAGTTCTGGCTATACAGATGTAGTTAAAGATCCTAAAAGGATTAAAAGGTAGAGTGTCTTTACCTTTTTTAACACATATACATACCTAAAATAAGTGGCTTGATTCACTATGTAGTAGTTGGTATTAAAGTAGTTATTCTCCAAGGGTCAGTTAATCTACTGCCCTGGCAGACAAGAGCCTCTTATCCTGATCTGGTATTATCCTGGATCAGAGCTTTCTTGGTGGTGTTATTTTATAATGGGAAAATGTTATTCAACAGCAGTTTACAAGGCCAGTGATGGGGTTGGCAACAAAATAATCCAGACAAAATAATAGTCCTGCCAAAACCATTTTATCCACACTTCTTGCTTTAGGAGGAAGAGATTAAATAGAAGATTGATTGTAACTTACTTGTCTTCATTAACTATTGTATTGTAGAGATATTTTACATGAATTTATATCTAAGTTAGATGCCACTATTCACAATGTAAGATGGTACTCAAAGCTTTCCCCCTATACATGCATGAGTCCTGTAGCTCAGTGGTTAGAGCACTCGCTTTGCAAGTGAGAGACCTGAGTTCAATTCCAGGCAGGGCGAAACCTTGGGCAAGTTTCCTTACTCCACACGCCTAATAATAATCCCTCCAAAACCAAAAACAATAATAAATTGGTCATTTTCAATCTACGACTGTTTGTGGGACATTGCTGTGCGCAATTGGCTCCCGCGTTCGCCCACAAATATACAGTCAATTCACTTTACAGTGTGTTCTGTAAAGCGCTTTGGGACGTCCTCCCGACGTGAAAAGCGCTATATCAAATGCAAGGATTATTATTATTATGAGGCAGTACAGGGGTTTAGGAAAAATGGTCTGCTCATTTTGATTCATTGAGTTTTTTGCATAGAATTTGGCATATCCACACTCCACGCAGAAATTAGGAATAGCTTCTCTGTCCTGTATCCCCCTTTTGTTAGCTGTGAATTCAGTTGTATGCCAGGTTTGATAGAAATTCAAGTCACAAGAGTCAGCTGCATTGATTGTGCAAAGTGACTGCACTGGGAGCAACATTAACTGCTAAGCTATTCTCAGTGTGTTATATTAGCTGTTCAAAGTACAGAGAGAGTCTTTTTTGATAAAAGAATGGGAGTCCAAATGAGGGCAATTGTACATGTGCTGGTTTTGTTTTCATTCTGAAAGTTTCACAGTTAGATGTCTGAGACTATAGTTAGGATAGGAAATTCTTCAGTTTCACATTAGACACAGCAGGATTAGGACTTGCGCACATTGGTTTGATCCTATTCCTGATCTGAAAAAAATCCAGACCATTACTGGTAGCCTGTCTTTCTGAGTTACTGCTAAAGCACATTGCAAGTGATCCTCTACTGCCTACCACTACTGACTTTCACACTTGTGCACCCTTAATATTGATTGAGCAGCCATGTTTTGACTAGGCTGGTAGGGTAGTGATGCCAATAAGCACCCGTCCATGAGTCATAAATCTGAGCCAAATCTGTTTTACAGCAATTGCTGTAGCACTGTAGCTCATTGGCAGAATGAAGATTTGGCTCCTCTCTACGTTTCCACTTCAGCATTGAAAGTAATAGTATAAGACTTGATCAAGGAAAAGATTGTTTTGGTCTCAGTTCTACAGAAATGCCAAATTTATACTTGGATTTTGGCCTGGATTTCATCTCATCTACTTAGATCAGGGATTTTACCATGAGGCTGCTCTGTTCTCCCGTCTCTTAGCCTCTCAAAGCTGTGTTTTGCTTCATTGCATGTGACATCTGTGAACTTTTCTGGCTCCTGAGAGCCATAAGTTGCAGTGTCATCACCAACATGTGTATTGATTCAACCCTAGTTGTTAAATAGCCATTGACCTGAGTCCTGCTCTAACATTATCTGTCACATATACTTCAAAACAGCAGCATAATAGCATGCTAAATGACAGACTACATAGCATCCCAACAGCATTTCTTCAAATTCAAGAAATGCAGGAATAACAGAAGAGTATCAGGAGTTTTAGCCCTGTATTGCCATTGGAAGTTTATAGGGTATAAAATCAGAAACATTTTTGGTAACAGTCTGCTATTCTACTGGGCAATTAATGCACGCACATAAGTTTATAGTGCTGCTAAGCTGTCACTTAGATTAAGTGATAGAAAGTTTCTTAGAATCAATGGCTACATTTTCTGTATCTTAAAGCTGCAGTGCCCCTTTAACTATTCCGCAAATTGGAGAGAGCTAATGAAATTAGCCTCTGGAAAAAAACATTCTCCTCTTGTCCTGTGTTTGATTTTACACCAGGGATAGATATCAGTCATGCATGCATCATCCGCTTATACTTGTGGCCTCTTCTGAGTTTAATCTTTGGAGAAAGCAAGAATCAATAGGCAAAGGATGTTAAACCTTGAGTAACCTTGCGTACCAGTCTCTGCCAGGGAAAATGAAATCTTCTAAACTAGTTTGAAAAGAGGAATTTAAAGGTTACAGGAAAAGAACTAGGAATTGAGATTAGAGTACAGTACAGTTCGGTGAGTCAGATAGCAGCAGTTTAGGCTCGATAGCTTTCTAATGCTGCAATTTACATGATTTCTACTCAGGGATTCCTCAACTCCTAACTATACATGGAAATAACCTGACTCTGCAGTTTTAGCCATGGATTGTGGAATATTTTTCAGAATTTTCATATTAATTGTAACCAAGTTTCTTCCCTCCTTTCCTAATCTTCTGAGCTGTATTCAATGAGCATTACTTGGCATTAGTACTTTGCCAAAGTGGCCATTATTCATGTTTGAGCCTTGACAGTAAGTGATCGCAGAACATTCGACTGTGGGGGTATCACAGCTGAGCTTGATACTTAAGACAGGCACCCACCAGCAGGGATCATTGGACAGCAGTAATGA